ATATATATATATATATATATATATATATATATATATATATATATAAAGGCGTTTTAAACCCTTCCCACACTTGCAATATTCTAAACAATGTTTCTGAACTCTAAACGCTCTAAAAGAGCACAGAATGTCATGATTTCAGCTCCCTGACTCCTCTGCTCTTTGCCACCTGCAAGCGCTCTTGGCCACGCCCACTTCTCCGCTCTGCATGGTGAACAGCTGATCAGCTGCAGCAGAAAGATTATCCTGCAGTATGAGCTAAACAAATGTGCAGCAGGTGTTAAATAATTTAAAATAATTTATTTTTAATAAAAAATTCCATGCCGATCATGTGGCTCATCCAATCAATCAGCCAGTTGTGCGTCATGTCCAATCTTATTTTGAAAAACCGCGATACAGCGAGTCTGCGATCAACGAAGCGTGGAAATAGCGAGGGACTACTGCATTTCATTTACTGAAATTGTCATTTTGTTGTGACAGTAAGACAAATGAGATTATGTTGGAGGCAACGAGAGGGATAAACAGTTCATCTTCCAAAAATTATCTGCTTTAATCAATTTAGGAGTAAAGCACAGCGCTAAAAAGTGTGAGCTACAAAAAAAACAGTTTTATTTGTTTTAGGCCAAACAATAACTCTCAGACCAAACGTCAAGCTTATTTTGTGGTTACGTCCTAAAAGCTCATTCCAGATCAACACACGCAGAAATTTGGTTGGACATCCTTTATTGTGACTCGCTTCTGTCGCGGGGGTCACTGGTGTCCATATCCAGAAGTCTGTGCGAGAGGCGGGGGACACCCTGGACAGGTCTCCAGTCCATCACAGGGACACACAGAGAGCTTTATGATTACAAAGACACTTAGCTCATTGAAAGCAGTGAAGTGTAGATGTAAACTTATGTAAAGTACTGTAAAACAAACTGTATAACAGTTTCCACATAACTTTGGTACAAGTTATTATTGAAGCTATTGAACAGTCAGTTTGTTCAATGTTTCGACTTGGACTTTACCACAGTAACATTGGTTTGTTTAAACAAAATCTGAGGTCAATAGTTAATGGACAACAGCTCAAGTTTTCCATTAACCCTATGTACATAACGACACATGATGCCACATGTATCTTAGCCATCGCAGCTCTACATGCCTTTGCTGTGAGTCATGGACATTTGTAATCACCTTTTTTCTGTGAAAAACTGGGTCTGTTCAGGTACCTTTCTTTGGCAGACAGGTCCAGGTGCGTGTGGACGTCCTGCAGGACGTCTTTAAAGAAGCGCAGCCTCTTTCGCTCGGCCTCCTGGGTGAGGTCAAACACCTGCTCCATGTCCTCCATGTAGCGAGGGTTGCAGCGGTTCAGCTCCTCCAGGGCCTTTTTGTAGCGATCCTCCACCTGTCGCACAAACAAAAAACATTTACGGAGATTAAAACATAAAAAATAAAAAAAAACTCCCAAGAAGGCATTACATTTTTTTTAAAGAGATTTAAATGTACTTAAGTTAGCAAACAATAAATTAAAAAAATAATAAAAAAATCAACCAACTAATCTGTGTTTCCAAACACGAATATGAACTTTTTTTACAGGTTCTTTGTCAATACAAAAGTGTAAAACTTCTGAAGAGGCAATAATTCACTCCATGAACAAATACTGAAAACTATGTTTGAACAACAAATAGTTACAGTGCCAGTTGTTATAAAACACATAAAACCAATTGTGTGTTAACTCTCACAAAGATGCGGTTATGTGGAAAAAGTCCAGCCTCATTCAGTTTTAGGGTTTTATGTAGTGCATACAAATAATCTGGTCTTTACCAATTTAACCTCCGGTGAAGAAAAACACATTTACCCATGCTGCTTCCATAAGTTTAAAAAAGAAAATAGCAGCCAGGTGCTGTTGATCAAATGCACTTGATTAAGTGATCGTCAGTGTAACTGCCTCTATAAAAGCATAACTTAGAAATGTGTTGCTTTATCATACAGGTGTCATGAGACAGAGATTCTTTATTGTCATTCGTATCTCATGTGGTGGAGTGAAATTATGTACACAGGGTCCCAGTTACATCAAACTATAAAATGTAAAAGAAAAACAGTAATAAGATTTAAGATAAGAAAAAAAGAGAAAAAAAAAAAAAACACTAAATATACACTAAGCACTAATAATATAAAAACATAACGTCGAACATCAGCACAAACCTGAACACGAGTCCGTGTAAGCAGATGAGCACACATGAACACACCAACATTGAAACAGATCAGCAGCAACATGAAACAGATCAGCAGCAACATGGTGTGATTTTTTCCACAGTGATTATTCTGGTTAGAGATTCATGAGTCTAACAGCCTCAGGGTAGAAGCTGTTCCTCAGTCTAGTGGTTCTACACTTAATGCTCCTCAACCTCCTTCCTGAGGGGAGCGGGGCAAAAAGTGTGTGTGCTGGGTGAGTGGGGTCCTTCATGATGCAGGTGGCTCTCTTCCTGCATCTGGAGGTGTAGATGTCTGTGATGGTGGGGAGACTGACTCCAACAGTCTTCTGTGCAGCCTTCACCACTCTCTGCAAAGCTTTTCTTTCTACAGATGTGCAGCCTCCATGCCACATGTTGATGCTGGAGCACAGGATGCTCTCCACTGCACACCTGTAGGAGGAGGTGAGGACTGAGCTTCCCAGACCAGCTCGCCTCAGCCGTCTGAGGAAGTAGAGTCTCTGATGAGCTTTCTTGATCAGGCTGGTGGTGTTGTTGCTCCAGCTGAGGTTGTCATTCATGTGTACACCCAAGTACTTGTAGCTGGAGACCACTTCCACTGCAGATCCTCTTATGTTCAGGGGGGTGTAGATGTTTTTGTTCCTTCTGAAGTCCACATTATCTCCTTTGTCTTCTTCACATTGGTGTGAAGGTTATTCTCTTTGCACCAGCTCTCCAGGTGTTCCACCTCTTGCCTGTAGCTGGACTCATCATTGTTTGTGATGCATCCCACCACCGCTGTATCATCTGCAAACTTTACAATGTGACAGCCTGGATGGGTAGCTGCACAATCATACGTGAGCAGAGTAAACAGGAGAGGGCTCAACACACATCCCTGAGGAGAGCCAGTGCTGAGGGTTATGGTGGAGGAGGAGAAGTTGTGGATCCTCACTGACTGTGGTCTGTTTGTTAAGAAGTCTAGGACCCAGTTGCAAATGGAGGGGTTTAGTCCTAGTGTGAATAGTTTGTCCATCAGGGTTTGGGGGATCATGGTGTTGAAGGCAGACGTGAAGACCACAAAGAGCATACAGACGTAGGAGTTCTTCTGCTCCAGGTGGTTGAGCGCAGTGTGGACCACAGAGGAGATGGCATCCTCTGTTGATCGGTTTTCACGGTATGCATACTGATGAGGGTCCTCGTTGATGTTGATGGTTGTTTTGATGTGGGTCATGACCAGTTTTTTGAAGCATTTAGCGACTATCAGGGTGAGGGCCACTGGCCGATAGTCATTCAGACCAGTCAACTTTACAGCATTTTGAGACTGGGATGATGGTGGCAGTCTTCAGGCAGGTGGGAACTGTCTCCAGGGTAAGTGAGGTGTTAAAGATGTCTGCCAGCACCTCGCAGAGCTGATCAGAACATTCTTTCAACACTTTTCCGGGGATGTTGTCTGGGCCGGTTGCCTTGCGCAGATTAATCCTCCTGAAAGTACTCCTTACTTCGGCTGAGGTCATGCTGAGATGCTCTTCATCCGGTGGTGAGGCGAGTCTGGTGCTGGGTAGTCTGTTCGGGTCTTCAAAGCGTGCGTAGTGTGTTACAATGCTAAGAGAAAAGACTTTAGCAATACGACCTCAGAGAAGTAAGGAATTTTGTCCATAAACCTGAGAATGGTTTAAGACAATATCCAAGCAATTGAGCCTTAAATGGATTATTGTATTCATGAATGTAAAGCATTTAAAGACAACTGCTACTTTTCCCAGGAATGGACATCCCAGCAAACTCACCCCAAGGTCAGATTATGCAATGATGTAGCATTGCACTATTGGAAAATGGAGTAGGTCACAATGAGCTTAGCTCCTGCAAGTATTATCATCCAATATTTTAGGCAAATTTTCTTTATTTCTTTATTTTAAGTGTTTGGTAAATTTGTCTGAACTAAGACTTATTTCTGGCATTTATATTGTTGCGAAAACTCAGTAAAAACGCATATGCCACTCAGTCTAGCCTGCAGCCTGTTGCTAGCGCTGCAGCCCCGCCTCATGGTAGAACCTCGCTGCAGCCTGGGTCATCTGGCATGCCGCTCATTGATATGGACAAGTCGACAAAAACTAAACTTAACTCTGAATTTCGTTAACAGACTACAGCCATGTTTAAAAAGAAGTTGCTTGCAGCACTGGAGGAGAATCCCAATAAAAAGTTCCATGCATTCAACTTCAGTTGAATGAAACCGTGTGCAAAATCAAAATTACACACATGGCAAGACACCAGGACCAGAAGGGTTTTTGGTCAAGTTTTTTTAAAACAGAGAAAATGAGCCCCGCTACTTCTTTCAGTGTATAATGAGTCTACTGAATGTGGTTCATTGCTTCCCACAATGTCACAGGCACTCATCGCTGTCCTGCTAAAGAAAATTAAAGATTACATCATATACAGTAGGCCTATTTCACTTCTTAACATACATGTTAAAATCTTGGCTGAAGTTTTAGCAACTTGCCTTGAAAAGATCCTCCCTTCTATTAGTTTGGAAGAACAAAATGGTTTCATTAAAGTCCGCCAGTTTTTTGGGGTTTTTTTTTTTTGTCTATACGCTTCTGAATGTGATTTTATCCCAATGCTACTATTTGTCCAGAAACGGTTATTTCGCTAGACGCTCAAAAATCTTTTGATGATGAGAAGTGGCGCAGTCTCTTTGCTGTCTTGCATACATTTGTTTATAAGAATCGATTCATTTCATGGATTTGACAAATTCACTCAAGGCCAGTATCTACATTAATAAAGTTTCCTCCAGCTACTTGACATTGTCACGTGGTACAAGACAGGGATGCCCTTTGTCTTCTATTGTTATTGAACCCTTGTTAATAGCTTTACAGTGCCTCCCTTGTTTCTGTGGTATTTCTCAGTCAGGTCTCGACTTGAAACGGTCTTTATATGCAGATGACCTGCTTTTATGTTTATGATTCCTTGCGTAGAATACCAATTGTATCTTTGTTGAAGAGGTTCGGCTCATTCTCATGCTATAAACTAAACACTCTTAAGAAGAAATGTTTCCCCATAAATTCTTAAGTCTTACAGTCTAAAACTGTCTGATATTCCCTTTAGGCTCAGCCCCTCGGGATTTAAATATTTGGGAGTTAATGTGACCCGCACTGTCTTCAGGATAGACATACAGTTTCTCCCTTTGGATCATTGAGATTAAATTAGATTTTCAGAGATGGAGTTCTTTGCCATGGTCTCTAATTGGGTGCATTAATATGATTAAGATGAACATTTTGCCTCCATTACTTTTTTTCTATTTCAGCGTATTCTTGTATTTTTGTGTAAAGCTTTTTCAAATAAGCTAGCTCAGATTGTTATTTTGTTCTTGTGGGGAGGAAAACACCCCAAGATGAAGAAATCACCTGTTACAGAGAGGGACATTTGATGGTGGTCTTGCTTTGCAAATATTTTTATTTTGTTATTGGTCGGTTCATATCCACAAATTGACCAACTGGCTTCAATCACAACAACTTATGATGCAAATTAGAGTGCCTGTCATGATATCTCCTCTTCTTTAGACGCTTTACTGGCTTCTACTCTTCCACTCAACCCCTCTCGTTTCATCAAAAGCCCTGTGGTGCAATCCAGCTTTAAGATATGGTACAGAAGTCATTTTGGTTTCGTCTCTGCATCAGTAGTCATGCCTATCACACAGAATCATCCATTCCCCACTGGTCTTACTGATGATACTTAAGTACAGTGGAAACACCATGGCATTAACATTAACTTTACAAATATCTCTACAAGGATGGCACTTTCTCCAGTTTTTCAGACTCATCTCTGGAAACAAATCTTCCATTGTGCTGGTGAAGATTCTCAGTCATCCAGGTCATGATCAATCAAAAAACTAATTGATGATAATAAAAAAATATAGTTTAAAATAAATAAATACAAATAACTGGACTTTTATCCTGAAGCTGAAGAGTTCAGCTTCAGAATAGATGTCTAAATCTTCCAGGGGCTCATTTGTTTCATTGTTTTCAAGTGCAGCATTGCACGTCCCTCTTATCCTTCTCTTCTAAGTGTAGAATGAACATATGCTGTCATATATTCATAGATAAAACGGATTCTTTCATTTTTCTGGACTGTATAATAACGTGCATCTGAATTATTAAAAATGTGGACGTGAGACGTTAATTATCTTTGACTCACCAACGACAGTGGGTCATTTATTAAC